CTTGCACCTGGCACAGGCACCGTAGCCAGCCCGTGCCCCTTTAAGGGGTCCGGGGCCGGGAGGGGGGCAATAGAGTTTCCCTGGTGTTGGTCAGAGTGGCCACCAGGGAAACCTGGGGAGGGCTAGCCTCCCACTAGTTCAAATTAAGGGGCTAAACACCCCTTAATTCGAACTAGCTAGTTCAAACTAGGCTTAATCCTCGTAAAATGAGGATTACCTAGTTCGAACTAAGCGCTCCGCTAGTTCGAATTAAGTTCGAACTAGCGGAGTGCTAGTGTAGTGCCTATGAAAGTTAGTTCGAACTAACGTCCGTTAGTTCGAACTAACTCTGTCGTGTAGACATACCCTAGGTGACTTGGGCTGCTAAAGCCATGTTTTTAAACACAGGGACATGTTGCTGCAATAATAAATAAATAATTTTCCCCTAAAATTTCCCTCAATTATTTGCCTTCCTTTTTTGGTTGTTCACTGAATGATGTGCAATTACAAAGGTTTCTTAGCCAATTGTGTGGTGTTATTATATGGGAAAACATGTTGGCAAGTAGTAAAGCCATGTTGTATAGCAAGCTATCTGATAAGATCTAACAATTGTCACTAACAATTTACAGCAGGAAGCGTCATATCAAGAGTGCCGGCAACATTCCCTTTTACGGGTTGAATGATGAATGGGCTCCCTGACAATTCCTGCAACCGCTGCCTGGCAGAGTAGCCTGCCAGGGAACCTCCACCAAGCAGATGTCTACACAATAGCGTTATTTCAGAGTAACTGACATTATTCTGAAATAACATGGTCCACATCTACACAGCAAGCTGTTATCGTGACATAATGTTGAAATGATGGTGAGCTGGAGGACTTCCTTCTCTGTCTCCTGTATTCCTTATTTTACAAGTGAGGAAAGCCAGAGGAAGAGCTTTGGGGTGGGCCGTGTGGCAAACAATGCTTGTTCTAGAGGCCCTCATCAGGGCCAGGGCAAGAGCCACAGTGGATGCCTGTTCCAGTAGCCTAGCTGGAGCCAGAGCTGCAACTGTCATGGGTGGTGTGAACTTTGGTGGCCTTGGCCAGGGCCTGAGCTGCAGGGTCATCACAGGCCGTGCATGCTTCAGAGGCCCCGGCCCAGAGCCATGCAGTGGTGAGGGACTGGGCTGCTCTAGTGACCAAGGCCGTGTGGTGAGGAGGTCTGGTTCCAGCTCCATTTCACTAAAGAGCTCCACTTCAGAATCTCAAAAGGTAAAGCTGCAGGTTATCTGAGGACTAAAATAAATGGCAAATGACTAGAGAAATGTTATGCACCCTGTTCATATTTATTTAAAAGCCTAAACCACATTAAGGAGAATAGTTCTGTCTGACCCTCTATATTCTTGTCACTTTTTGAAGGCAGCAATCATGTCAATAGTGTTGATTGTGCCAATGACTATTTTTCTCTCTGTGGAAGTTATTTCTCTCACTCTCTCTTTCTCACACACGCACACTGTGTAAAAGCAACTAAAACTTTCTTAATGAATATTGATTATTTTGTATTGATCAATATGCAATTGATAATGATATATTAAAGGGACTTTTCTACGATTCACAGGGATCTAAAGCAAGCAGATACTATAAGAAATATAATCAGTAATTAGATTATGTCCTATATATAGTATAGTAATGTGGTCCGAAGAAAAACAGCTGGATGAAATTTTCTGGTGATGTACCTAAATTCATCTTCTGAATGTCATGAATTTGCAACTGAAGAATGAACTTTACAGTCAATGGTGAGGGACGGTGCATTCATTTTTTATCCTTTACAAATTACTACACTATGACTGGATTAGACTGGGAGGAAAGTACAGGGGTTGGGATGAAGGAGACATAATGCAGGGCTGATGGTAAAGGGTGCACAAGATGGGGGTGCAGCGTTTGGGGAGCCCATAGATGCAGGAAAAGTGGAGCAAGGCAGGGTAGTGATACTGGGTATAAAGCTGGGTAGTTTTCAGGGTCTGTGTGTGCAGGGTCATGCACCTTGTTAATTATCCCTTGTTCAGTATTTCTCTTCCATAACAATTTAAACTGTGTGTGTGTGTGTGTGTGTGTGTGTGTGTGTGTGTGTGTGTGTGTATATATATATATATATAT